AATTCCGGAGCCATTCAGCTTCTTCACCGGCCTTATCTAAAGTTATGAATTCAGATTCCATTGTAGAACGGGCGATGCACGTTTGTTTGGATTATTTCCAAGACACTGCTCCACCCCCAATTGTGAAAATATATCCACTCGTGGATTTGACTTCAGATGATCCGGTGATCCAATTTGCATCACTATATCCCTCGATCACGGAAGGATATTTGTTATAATGCAAAGCATAATTTTGGGTATGTTTCAGATATCCCAAATCTCGTTTCATTGCCATCCAATGTATTTGATTGGGATTACTTGTAAACCGACTCAGTTTGCTAATAGCACATGCTATATCTGGTCGCGTACAATTCATGATATACATCAAACTTCCCAATACTCTTGCATAGTCCAGTTGTGAGTCACTTTCACCTTCATTCTTTTGAAGTGCATAACTCACGTCAATTGGAGTCTTGGCAATTTTGAAATCCAAATCTTGAACTTGTCAAGTACCTTTTCAATGTAGTGAGACTGTGATAATGCTAGACCTTGTGAAGCTTGCGAATTCTGATTCCTAAGATCACATCAGCAACTCCTAAGTCTTTCATGTCGAATTTGCTAGCCAACATGCGCTTTGTAGCATTTATATCTGCCATACTTTTGCTTATTATCAACATGTCATCAACATATAAACAAACNAAGACCTCTTTCCTCTTTCTTACTTTTTTGGAGCAGTCTCTTCAACGATATTAGCTCCCATGATCGTTGAATTTGCACGAGACTTCTTCTCGGCTGTTTTATTGTCTTCCTCGATCTTTAGACGTATCACAAGATCTTCCAACTTCATTTCTTTGCGTTTGTGCTTCAGATAGTTCTTGAAATCTCTCCACGAAGGAGGCAATTTTTCAATCATAGCAGCTACTTGAAATGCTTCATTCACTACCATACCTTCAGCTATAAGGTCGTGAAAAATAAGTTGAAGCTCCTGAACTTGGGTTCCCACAGTTTTGCTGTCTATCATTTTATAGTCTAGAAACTTGGCAACCACGAACTTCTTCAAGCATGCATCTTCTGTCTTGTACTTCTTCTCAAGTGCGTCCCATAATTCTTTTGAAGTATTCATTGCACTGTACACATTGTACAAGTCATCTTCTAAAGCACTTAAGATATAGCCTTTGCAAAGAAAGTCTGCTTGCTTCCATGCCTCAACAACCATGAACTTTTCATTATCCGGCATGTCCGCAGCAGGCATTGGAGGCTCTTCACTAGTGAATTTCTGCATACCAAGTGTGGTAAGCCAGAAGAACACCCTTTGCTGCCATCCTTTGAAGTTGGTTCAAGAAAATTTCCCCGGTTTCTCAGCCGGAGGAACAGTAGTGCGGCTTGACGAGGCTATCGTCGTTGCACCAACAGTCGCAGAAGGATTTCCATTTTCATTTGCCATTTCTTACTGTCAACAACAGAAGAAATCAATTAATGGCAAAATCAAAACAGTAAATAATACTGTAATCAATAAACAGTACGTAATAAAAACAACTAAGGTTTTTATATACTGTTTTACAGAAAAACGATGAAGTTTTTATGTTCTTCAAATCGTTTTCTGAATTTCAATACCCTGATGAAGTTTTTATATCTTCAAATCAGAATAGTAAAATTCAGACAGAATACAGAATATAATAAATATAATTACCTTAAGATTGTTAATTATCTGTATTGCTGTAAGTAAATAAAACAGTAATCTTTCTGAAAAATAAAACAGAAAGTTAGTAGAAATAATTCTGAAAAATAATATTCGAACTTCAAAATAATTTTTCGAAACGTTGAAGGAACAAATCGAGCCCACTGAATACACAGCGTGTCCTTAAGGAAATTATTCCCCTCAAGTACCCGAGGTTATGGAATATATCCTCCCAGGATAGAATGATTTAACTCACCGGAGTGTTGGTACCAAAAACGCCGATGATCAGCGAACCACTCGATGGCAGCAAAACACACTGGAATTTTAGTGCAGAAGAAGAAGAAGATAATCAAAAAAATTCGTAAGTAAATATTCTGGGATTTGAAGGTCTATTTATAGCCAACTTGGTGATGTTTCTGAAGAGGTTTGCAACCTTTCAGAATAGTCATGACTGTTGGAACAGGTGTGACCCTCTGAAGAGGTTTGCAACCTTTCAGAACAGTCATGGCTGTTGGAACAGGTGTGACCCTCTGAAGAGGTTTGCAACCTTTCAGAATAGTCATGGTTGTTGAAACAGGTGTGACCCTCTGAAGAGGTTTGCAACCTTTCAGAATAGTCATGGCTGTTGGAATAGGTGTGACACTGTTTCAGAACAGCCATGGCTGTTGGAAATTTTTTGTGGAAAATTTAAAACGAATTTAAATTAATCCGGGAAAGAAAAACGGGCTAGGCCGGACCGGGTCGCGGGTCATCCCTCCATTTCTTTTCCCACCATTTTTCATTCACACCTCTTTTGTTATTATTTATTAAATAACAAACCCAACAATATATGTTGAAGGCACAATTGCGAGAGCATTGTTATGCGCCAATGCAAGGATCAGAAGCAGCTTCAAAACAACCTCCTCCTGGATTTAGTCCTCTGGGAGCTGGTAAGCATCCCAATGGCGACAAGCTTACAATTCCTTGTCATTGAAATATTGTATATAAATACAATTTTAACCAACAACATAGAATTGAATTGCCCGAGTCAAGTTGCCAACGACCATCCCTAGATATTCTTCAGGACCGTGGAGTTGCTGGCTGCATTGTTTCGTTACCAAAGTAACCCCCCATGTAATCGTTACTGATGAAGTAAACTGCTTCCCATATGACTTCCTCTGCTTTGGCTGCTCCCAACTTTTCTGTTAGTGATTTTCGCACTTGTTCAAACTACTTTAATTGTCTCTAAAACCTGATATTTCATCACGTACAAGTAACATGGTAGATCTACCCTTATATATGTAGAAATATATATATGTATACATATATATAGTAATGAAGTAATAAGTATACTGTGAATAAATGGAGATGAAAATGCTAATGCCCATACCAAACCAGGATGAGTGGTAGAAACAACTCCAGCTCCTCCAGAAGCAAAGTAAACTCCATTGCTGAAATGAGCAATATGGGGTTAATCCATTTTGTTTATCCATATTCAATATGGGTCAGGAAGGGGAGTTTTAGAGCAACAGTTAAGTTCTCTCCGTGTGACCTATAGGTCATGGGTTCGAGCTGTGGAATCAGCTACTGCTTGCATCAGGGTAGATTGCCTACATCACATCCCCTTGAGGTGCGGCCCTTCTCCGAACCTGTGTGAACATAGGATGCTTTGTACACCGGGCTACACTTTATTAAATATGGGTCGGGTCGGATATTTTACCAGCCCTATATATAGATCACATAATTTCTTAATAACCCCTTTAAGATGAGTCAAAACAAATCTCAAGTCCAAATAGGATTGATGTCATGCCATTTAACAAACTATGTTGCTCGGACTCTCCGAAAATGTGGCCGGATACGTGTCGGATCCTCCAAAAGCAGTGCATTTTTGAAGGATCCTACACGGGTGCGGCTACATTTTGGAGAGTCCGCGCAACATAGTTAACAAAAGAAAAAAAGTCACTTTGGCTTCCACAATTAGGGGTGTGCATTCGAATCGGTTTATCGATAAATCGAATCGATTATTTATTATCGGTTTATCGATTTATCAATTTCGATTTCGATTTCGAAATTTTCCTTATCGAGTGATCGATTTCGATTTCGATTTTGTCCTCTTCGGTTATCGGTTTATCGATAAACCGATAAGAAATACTAAAAAAAAAATTAATTTTTTTTTAATTTTTTTTTACCCTTATTCTATAATACCCTTTCCTTTACCCCAAGTCCCTAACCCATTATTTCATCTATCACATTTAAGGAATGATCATATTTAAAACTCAAGTGAATGAAGTTCAAATTAATGGAAAATAGAATTAGCCGTGATGATGTATTTTTTTTATACCGTTGGAGTGTTGGTGGCATACATTTGATCCCTTACTTTAGTTCCGTTGCATGTGCTTGTTGACACAATTTTTATGTTATAAACGGTGTTCGTCTTATTTTAGCTTCTTTTGGTCCATATTAGTTAGGCGTGTTTATAGTGATATACTTTCCGTGGAATCCCGCAAATTTTCTTATTGGTGTAATCGATAACCGAATCGATAAGCCCCAAAATCGATAAATCGAAATCGAAAAAATCGAAACCTTATTGAAACGATAACGATAAGCATATATACAAATCGATAATCGATAAGTAATTATCGATAAGGGTCAAAATCGAATCGATAAATCGAATGAACACCCCTATTCCACATATCAAAGTAATTATTTGAAAATTTGAACCTGTTGTATTACTTGAAATTGGAGAAGAATAGTGGTTGGTCAGTAGGCTCCTCGAAGAAACCATTCTGGGCATATATATGGTTCATAATTGGCTCTGTTCTCAGGAATGGTCTCAATATAGTTGTTTCCTACATCCACGGTGGAGTCTCCGAAGATGAACAAGCCTGTTGCTGCTGCCTTTTCGAAAACAAATAGAAGAATAAGAACAAGAAGAGTTGTCATCACAAGGAAATATGAACCACTTAAGTCAACTTTACTCATTGACAAAAAGAAGAAAACATCGATATTTGTTTGTAAGTAGGAGTAGTATTTATATTCGTAACGGTGTTTCTTTGTTCGTCAATCACGAGCAACAGGTTAATCCCCCAATATTTCAGGTTAGGGACAAATTAGCCAGTAGCTTTATGCACTGTTTATTTTATTAAGTACTATACTGGTCATCACCTAGTATATAGAATATTGCCGTTTTCCTTAAAAGATGGAGACATAGGTAAAAAGTTGACCCACCTACTATGCAGCCGTACAATTCTCACCACTGCTGGATTTTTCTCGTGCTCTTTTATTTTGAAAATCAAAAGTCGCCGGACTGGTGATCACGGGAGGCTGACCTTTAACCAGTAAATTAGCACGCAAAAAGTGGATATATGAAGGAGGGGAACCTCATCGAAAACTAATTAAGTTTGAATTGTACATACACAATTTTTAAAGAGATCTATGGTGTGTGGAAATACAATTGTATGTATAATTAGTCTAATTACATCTTTCTAAATTAGTCCTACTAGAACTAACTTGTTACATCCTTTTGAGGTACAGCTCATGGTATACAAAAAAAAAACAAAAAACTACTTTTGATCCTTAAATTATACCAATCCGTCATGCAAGCTTCAATCCTTCATTAGCTTCTCTGAAGCAATGTTGAAGCTGCACATATTCCAAAACCTTCAGCTTACCTTAATGCTTTCAATTACTGAGATAAGATTCCAAATGGCGGGTCTGATTTAGCATGGATCCAATTAGTTTTGTTTCAGCACATTCCTTTACTGAAAGGTGATGCAAAAGCTGCTATTAATTCCAGTATATGATCTAATACCACCACCTCCTCCACGTAGTCCCCCGTTCCTGTTTGAGCTCCCATCTGTGTTGATCTTGAATAGAGTCTAAGGAGGACGCGTCCAATGTACTGCATTTTGCTTTCTGAACAAACAGTATCGCACAAATTGTTCAAAGACATGAATGGATCAACCAGCTGAAACTTCAAGTGCAATACGTTCATGAAAAATCCGGTGCGCCATAACAGTAGATGACATCTCCTAAACAGAATCTGCTACTGCATCTAGCTTTCCTTAAGCCAACACGTGATGCCACATTAGATAACAGTCCACTCAAAATGTTTCAAGTATATAATTATACGATTCCCTTACCGAGCAGTACTAGACGATATTTACTCACAATTCATAGAATGAATATTATGATTCATATAAACTCGTTTATCCATTTCTGGGCTAATTTAACAAAGAGAATTAGCTTAGATGGAGGATAATATAGCAAATTTTCCACCGAGCTTGGTGAACTATTCCTCATCCATAAAATTCGATCAAGTAGGGCTGTTGCTCTGGCAGTAGAAGAATACAGAGATATCAGACATACAAATAAGAAGCAACTCCCATAAAAACTTCCCATAGGAGGCAACACCCTTAAAAACTTCCCATCCTACGCAGCCTCATATTTGTTATAGAGTTGAAATAAGACCAGTTGTTGTTCATGGTGTAGAAATAAGACCAGAGAAGCTGTCGAAAGAATTTTTTTTTAAAATAAATATAAACACCAAAAGATAGGATAAGTGCAGACGAAAGGGTGAGGTTATAAAGGCATAATCTCAAAGGTCATTTGAAATAACTAATCTAGTACTTGACCTTTATGAAATAGATTATTTCTTATCATATGGAATACTTTTTCTATAAGCTTATTTCTTAATTTGTACTTTTTCTAGGCTGATTTTTTGTGTTGTCAACAGTCCAAACTTCACAGAAAATTTTTGTGACAAACGTCGCTCTTACAATTGTGATTTTAAAAGGGAAAGGAATATGACCAATAAAGCAGACGAGATTGTCAATGACCAACATAACATCAACAGGGCATTAAAGAAAGGCTCTTTCTTTGACAGTACCAGACACTGAGAAATCATTGGCATGCAGATGTGAGGCAACCATTTAGAAACTGCCCATTGCTATGCTGCCTCATTCACAATCTTGAGCGTTTTACTTATTCTTGGTTGAGGACATAAGAAGTAGGCTCAGATCTGTCACAAAATCGGGTAAGGGAAGGGACACCGCCATGACTGCAAACAAGAATAGCATAAAACAACAACAACAACAACAACAACCACCCCAATCACAATCTAGTTGGGTGAGCTAAATGAATCCCAATCAACTCCATTAGGACCTATTTCGTTCCAATACTCATTAAGCTGGTTACAACACATCTCGGTTTGCCCTGCCAAGATACGGGCCCAATTGCCCAAAATCCGATTAACTCAAAAAGTTATATCATCATAACCTACAGATAAGCATCATCAATGATGCTCAGAATGATTCTGATTTATAAAAAGGAAAAAATTAATGACCAAGAAACCAGAAGTAAAGAGGACACAGCATACAGTGAATAGCCACAGCAGTATCAACATGACATGCAGTAGAATAAGAGTACAGCACCTGTACGTAAACAAAAGAAAACAACAGAAAACTAAAAAGAGGACAAGAGCAAGATGAAAGGGTGAGGGTTTAAAAAGTGTGGCAACAATTTTAATATTCCAGTACTTGTGTAAAATTGATCATATTTCAATATGTTCATAACCAAAAGAAAAAAGAATACCCCAGATTCTAGAAACATTTTATGAACATTATATTTCTTGTTAACAACATTAGTAAGTCAACGAAAATATCCCCTGGTTCTTCTATCTCTAGTTTCCAGTTTCCTCCCATAACCTAAAATGTCAAATGTCCAATAATTCACTGTTTCAGTCAGTAATTCAACGGGAATTTTAACTTAATAAAAAACTTCCTTCAGCAAATACCTTTGTTTAAAAAGATAATATCGTTTATTATGTAATCATCAAAGTGACTGAAAAAAGAAAGGTATTGTATATTTGAAACTATAATGACTCCATCCGTACAGAAATCTCTAAACACAGGAATTCTGAAAACTAAACCGAAACAAAATGTGACGTCATTAAAGGAATTTTGAAGTTATTGAACATAAGTTGTATTCTTTATTTTTAAAAAATTTTGAAAAACCCTTTTTACTGGCGTGTCCTCTTTATCTTTTCTTTTGAGGCTCAGATCTGTGACATGATCAGGGCAAAGGAGACAAAGCAACCGCCATGGCTGCAAACCTCGGTTGCACAATAAAACAGGCCTTCCGGGTCGGGTCGCCACGCCAAGATACGGGCCGCTCCATTGCCCCGACAGAACTCTAGACAACCTCAATCATCACAGCCTCTCATCCTTTGAGAAGAATGGGTAAGATCTTAAACCCTAAACCCTTCTTCCTATATATAAAAAATTGCACGGTAATAGAATAGTATCCCTGCAACGGTACAGACCTCAAGGTGCTTGCTGCAAGGCTGGAGGTGGGCATGCATTGGGGGGAAGCTAGCATGCTGCGCGGGTACTTGGTATGTAAATCTACTCAGACATTAACCAAACAGTTCCTTAAGGTGAATGGTGGTTTAGTTTACAAATGGAAAAGGAAATCATAGGAAGAGAGAGGGGGCAACCACCACTAGAGACTCCCAACTGGCTCTCTGCCTGGCTCTCTGCCTGCCTCATTCTTTCCGTCTAGAGTTCACAATAATCTCTTTAGTCACATAGAGGTGGATTTTATACTGTAGTACTCTATTGTGTCCTCTTTTTACTTTTACGTCCTTGCATTTTACCCCAATTTCCAAAATCTCTTTAGTCACAATAATCTCTTTAGTCGAATATACCCTTGTACTTTCGGATATTGTCTACATTTAACCTTTATTATACCATCCATTCTAACTTACCCTTACCGTTATGCTATCCGACCAAATTTACCCTTACTATTAGCAAACTTTTAAAAATTACCACTTGATTTATTAAGTAATCCAAAATCTCCCAATTTCCTTTATTTAAATAACTTGTTGTTCTTCTTGCTCTATGATGATAGGCTATAATTGCATATTTTAGTCGCTTATTACACTCAAATTTACTGCACTTTAATTGAGTTTGAGATTTAATCGCTAGTTTTTGCACTAATGGTGTGTTTTATGCCTTGTAGGAGTGATTCCGAGCTATGTAGATGTTATGGAATGAATTCAAGTGATTTGGAGCTTTGAAGTCTGAGTAAAAGCTCAAGGAATTAAGCCGGGATCGTGTTTGGGAGTCAACGGATGATAGTTAGAGCGAACGAAGAATCGAGTAGGCATATTGCGCACTGTCTAGTAAAATGGATATAACTTTTTGCTCAGAACTCCATTTGGGCTCCACAATATATGGTTGGAAAGCTACAAAGGGCTACAACTTTTACGTTTTACGTTTTTCCAAATTCTAAGCGGAATAGGGTGAAAAGTGAGCGTCAATAGAGCGGTCGCGCTCAGGCCGTGCTCGTCAGGCAGAACACTGGACAATATGTGCGGCCACTAGCACGGTCACGAGCGCGGCCGCGCTAGTCAAACCCGGGAAAAGTATTTTTTTTTTGTCTAGGAGAAGGTATAATTGTTTGGGCCCGACCCTACTGGGTATATATACATGGAAAAACGGTATTTTAAGGGGTTGGACATAATTTAGACCTAAGGAGGCTAAGGAGACCGGGGATTCGACCTAAGGAGGCAAGAACACAATAGGAGCAAGGTGGAGAATTCTTCTACGAGTTTTTTTCCTTCCTCTTCCTATCTTTTATTGTTGGTTATGACTTTTAGTATTGTAGTTTTACATACTATTATGAATAGCTAATTCGTTTTCTAGGGTTTTGATGGAACCTTTTGTAGGATAAATTCTTGTTATGTTTTTATATAATTGAGCCGTTGGATTTCTCTACTTGTTCAACTACGTGTTTATTGTTGTTGATTGAATGGTCATCGATTGACTGTGCCTATTTATTATGTGTTGCTTGAGAAAGGATACATATTTAGGTGGTTGTTGAACAACGTCACTCCTAACGTATGTTAGAAATCAATACAGCGGGTTTAAAGGCAGGTGTAGAAATAACAAAGCCTTGACGTGGTCATAATGAGCAGTTAGATAAAGGCAACTAGCGTAGTTCGACAGAATATGTCTAGTAAATTGTTGTAGTTGCTCGAGAGAGAATTACGGCACCTAAAGTGCTCACGATCAGTAGAGAATACATTGGCGAAATTGTAGGGAACATAGCTAGAAGGATTCCGACAATTGAGGAAATCATAACTCCAGATCTCCTTAATTTAGTCTCCAACCCTTTGTCTCGTTAGTTGATAATTTTACCGTTTTGTAGTATTTGCTAGTTAATTAGTTAGAAATATAAATCTCAATCTTTATAATTTAGGAAATTGTTCAAACTTGTCTTCTTTGTGATATTAAACAGATATAGCTAAGCTTAGTTCTCTGTGGGATTCGACTCTGGACTGTTAGACCTGATTATATTTTGTAGCGACCGCTTATCCTTTTTAGGACTAGAGTTGGGCGTGATCAAATTTTGGCGCCGTTGCCGGGGAACTAACGGTGTAGTTGTAGGTGTACATATTGCTAGGCTTCAAGTTTGAACTTTTTTTTTGTTTTACTTATTAATTTTAGAAACATGACATCTTGGAATTATGGGAATTTAGGTGTAGATAATTCTACTATTGATCTCCATACATATTGTGAAAGAAACTACCCGTGGCAAAATTTTCAAAACGTTCCTAAGAGCGAGTTATGTGCACCAACTCAATCTTATTTGTGGAATGTGTGTGATGTGTGTGGTGGTAAAATGGTCACTTTCATGGTTGTGCTTATATTTCTTATCTTCCCCCAACCCCTTACTATGATGGTTCTACCTTTTCTTGTGAAGTTAATAGGAACAAAGAACCTGGGGATGCAGACCTGAAGGAGATCAAGGATATGTTAAAGTGCCTTCTGAAACAAAATAATGAAAAACAATTGCAAATAGAAAGGCAAGAGGCAACTATTCGCAAGTTGGAGGCTCAATTGAGTCAAGTGGTTGGAGCTTTTAATGCTTAACAAGCCAATATTGAGGATAGTAGCAAAGAAGAGCAGGAATTTGAGGTGTTAATTGGGGAGGTCAAAGTAGAACATAAACAACCTAGCGAACTACAATTTGAGGATGTCGATGTTGAAGACGTGAGACTAGAGTCAGCCAAGGACATTGAGGATATAAATTTTGTTGACTCTAGTATCATTAATGTTGAGGATGTTGAAAGTCCTGAAGTTCATGTGTTTGAGTGCATTGGTCCACACTCCAAGTATTTTTTCACATTATGTTTGGATGATGATATAGAAATAGAGTCATTCGAACCAATTGAAGAGTCGAGGAATGAGGAACAAGGTGCATATATTCTGGAATTCTTCTTGCCAGAAAATCAGGATTACATACCTCATACAAAGGCTAAGGAGTGCAGAATATATTATTTCCTTGGGCCAGTTAGATTCGTTCCACCACCCCATGACCATAATCATAAGCTTGAATAAAACTTGGGGTTCAATTTATAAGCTCGAGGTGGAGGCAAAAAGTGATTCGCGTCGTGCCGCGGCGTTAAATCAAGCGCTTGTCGGGAGGTAACCCAGCTTTATTTTATTTATTTATTTATTTATTTTAAATTTAGTTTTTTTATATTTTTATTATTATATTATTTTTGTAGTGTCGATTTTTTATTTTGTAGGAGCATGGAAAGCAAAGCGATTGGAAGGATGCAACAGCAAACCATTAGTTGGAACTAAGTGTGAGGTACCCGCACGAAGGACCAGGGCTGGGAGAAGTCTGAGTACCCCATGAATTGTTAGTGCTTCGGCCTTTGGCCTACCAGGGAGTCTCTTTTACCCTTTTATTAGTTATGGTGTGCATTGGGGACAATGCACAATTTTAAGTGTGGGGTGAGGAGATTGTCTGGGTGACTTTTCATGCTACTTTAGCTGTGTTAGTTTAATTAAATATTATTTTTTAAAGATTGGACTTTTTCCGACGATGGATCTATTAGACAATTTTCTTGAGGGATTTAAGTCTAAAGAAAAAAAACAAAAAGATTTTTTTTGTTAGGTAGTGTAGCAATTACCCCTTGGTTTTTCTTTGTGCCGTGGTTCTTTTCCAATGGTTTTGTTTGAACCGGGTGTAAATAGTTTTTTTTGGGAGTAGGAGCCATTGTGTTGTGTTTTGTATTGAAGCAATATCTCTTAACTTTGTTATGCCTTGAGAATAGTAAGTACTCTGGCTGTGACGCTTAGGCTCAGTTTTTGACTCTTGTATAAGTACCTTAAATTATATGATTTTAAATTTGCTTAACTGCTTTGACTAGAGTGTCTTGATGAATCCAATCCTGAATGAGTTATGTGCCATATGTGTGTGTAAGGTTTTGTGTTATTCTGTGCGTGCATTTGATGCCTAGAACTTGCCCCGTGTGTTTGCAAAGAGAAATAGTCGTTTTGTTCAGTCTTGGAAGTGATATAGGCATTTCTTTGTTGAGCCAGATATGTATATTTTACCTGCCTAATTGTTATGTATCGTAGTTAACCACTTTGAGCCTGTAATCCTGTTTCTTTGGCAACCACGTTACAAGCCTTACCCATTTGTTTGAATTAACCATCTATTTGAACCATTGTAACCTCTCATGAGCACTTGAATTATTTATGAGCTGTGTGAAAATTAAAGTGTGGGGTGGCTGGTTTGGCTTTTGAGTGGAACTAATGAAATAGGAGAAAGGTGCACTACTTTGAACAAGTAAGAGCCACTTGAATTGAAAAAAAAATATAGTTGTATTGCTGTGAAAAAAAAATTCTTTGATAAGTGGTGACTCTTGATGTAATTGTGCTTAAGAAGTATGGGGTAATATACATTGATGTGAAGGTGGAGTTTTGGTTTGACATAAGCATGGGCTTGAATGTTAAAGTATATGTATTAAAGTGCTTAGGGAGGTGTAGTCACTCTTATATCTAAATGTATCCTACCCGTCCCGCAGCCTACATTACAAAATAAAGTCCTACTTGATCCTAGACTGAATGAGCTCGATTAGTAGAGAATACACTACGGGCAAGCCTATGGTGCATCTTTTGTGGCATATGAATGTTATTTCTGAGAGTGAGTGAATTCTTTCTATCTTGAGTTCCTAACTGCTCTTAAATTTTATTGTGTGGAACTAGTCTTTTTTGTTGTGTGAGGGCACTTGATTCATGAAGGAAAGGTAATGTCAGTGATCTCTATGTTAGAGTAAGTGGGTGAGTTGTTAATAATGCGTGTACTTGTGAGTCAAATATTGAGGTGAAGATATTACGCTTTTGTGCTTAGTCAATTTTAAATATTCTTGGTGTAATGAGTTAGGAGAATTTTTTAAAAAAAGGTCGTGTATATGTAAAGTGTAGTTTGATTGCTCGAGGACGAGTAATGGTTTAAGTGTGGGGTATAGATGATAGGCTATAATTGCGTATTTCAGTCGCTTATTACACTCAAATTTACTGCACTTTAATTGAGTTTGAGCTTTAATCGCTAGTGTTTTGCACTAATGGTGTATTTTATGCCTTGTAGGAGTGATTCCGAGCTATGTAGATGATATGAAATGAATTCAAGTGATTTGGAGCTTTGAAGTCCGAGTAAAAGCTCGAGGAATTAAGCCGGGATCGTGTTTGGGGGTCA